CAACTTGAAACCGCCATGCGTCCCATGCAGATTAATTTTTTTTTTTTTTTTAAGTTTAGAGTTGCAGTTGGTGAATACTCAGTAAAGAAAAATTGTTACTTGAGATGGTTTAGTTGACTTTTGGATAGGATCGAGGCAAAACCATTTGGAAGATTTGGTTTGTTGAAGTGTTTGGTTTGACTTCTTGATTGCATAGAACAAGATTTGTTGTTTATTTTTATTTTTTAATTTTGATTTCTCAAATTAGAAATGAAAACAAAGCAGAGAAGAGAGGAAAGAAGAAAGGTGAATAAGAATAAAAGTTTCAACAGTTATGGCATCCCTCTCACAAATAATAGTCCAACTCAGACTTATTGGGCTCAACAGTTTTAACCACATCCAGAAAACTGTTAAAATCATCCCAACCTTGGGCTCCCTCAGCCGTTGCCACATCATCACCAACGGCTCCATGTCCATCCCTTTCTGATGTAGAAGCGCAGGCAATAATCACAGCTTGATTAGCTTGAACATACTCCCCATATAGCTCATATAATGCATCCCAGATCGTTATAGTATTTGCCTGTGCTTCTACATCAAAATACATCTTAGGGAATGTCTACTGAATAACCCTCATTTTCAACTAGGGATCCAATACAGCAGCCACATACATTAACACATTACTTTCCCCCCAAATATTTATTAAACTTCTCCTTCATTTTCCTAACCATTATTCTAATAAAATCAGTTTTAGATTCACTCTTGCTATCTAACATACATTTCACTGGACACACCTCTTTTAGGAATAAATTCGCCGTCGGATAATCACTTCCTGAAATGAGTTTGGTTGAACCACTGAAAACCTGTAAAATGTCATAGACTTTCTTTGCTTTCTCCCAATCCTCCTCACTCAGATTATAATGATAACTTGTTCCCTCTCTTTCAATCTTGGAATTTTTTTTTGAACTTAATTGCCGTTGCCAACATTTCATATGTAGAATTCCACCTTGTTTTGCAATGGAGAATAATTTTCCGAAACGACAATTTAAGTTGTTGAACAATCTCAGAAAATACCTTAAGCCTACTTTCTGAAACATTGATATATAACACGCTCTCATGGATGTCATCAATAATGTGCCTAATTTGATAAAGTCTATTTTGAACAATGAGGTTCAAGATGTGTGTACAACATCTTACATGAAACAGTTTACCTCTACAAAGGAGTTTCCTTGAAACTTCAAAATTCTCCCTCAAAACTTTAATCGCAACATCATTATTCAAAGCATTATCCATAGAGATACTGTATACCTTATTTTCAATTCTCCATTCCATTAAGCACTTGAAAATGGAGTCAGCAATCACAATACCAGTTCGAGGAGGAGGTAGATGAACAAAATTCAGGATACGTCTATTCAGCCTCCAAGTACTATCTATCCAATGCCTGGTCAACTCCATCTTCTGATTCCTTGAATTCCATAAGTCCGTAGTCAAACTAATCTTTGTCACACTCTTCAACAAAATCTTTAATTTCACATTCTCACTTTCATATACCTTCATATAATCTTTTCTACAAGTATGGCGGGAAACCGGAGTCCATCCAGGAATCTCATACTTCATCATGTTATTCAAGCCCTCTTCCTCTACAACCATAAATGAATGTTCATGCATGAACACCCAATGGGCTATAAGTTCCCTCATCTTCATCATGTCGAACTTTCCATTTAGAGCTGGCAAAATAGTAGTTGCAACATTGGTACCAGCAGTCAGAAAACTAATATGTTGTTGCCTCATGGAAGCTTTTCTCTTTGAACACGGTTTTAAATATCTATTGAACTGGGTGGTGCTTCCGATGACATTAATACCCAATTTTAATTTGTAATGGATACCCTCTGCCTTTTTGTTACCATTAGGGAGTACCACCTCCTTAAACTCTGTCCATACCACCGATGTCTTAGCCCTTTTTTTCTTTTGAATTGGATTCTCATTCTCGTCACCATTATCCGTGCTACCAATACTTTGTTCCGTATTTGTTGTGGTCACATTCAAGTTATGATTACTGCCCGATGTAATAGTAATTATATCTTGCATTGTAGCCGTAGGGGTGCTTGAGGAACTACTGTCCATTTACAAACCTATATAAGAAAAAAAAAATCAAACATTTCTCAAATGCAAACGGAAGTAAAGCCATGAACATCTTAAGACCAAAAGCAAAATTATTATTATTATTTCAACTCCATTAAACCCACTCAACTACATAAACATTAAATGCCTATGGAGTTTTGTCAGCCTTCTTTCACACTTTTGAGGGTAATTTTGTAGGTTTTTTTGCTGGTTGCACAACTGCTCTTATTAATTTACCTCTTATTAATGCCTTAATATATCTCTTATTAATTTAGCAGTAGCAGTAGGGGACCAGCCGACCAACAAGGCAACAACTTTTGTTTTTCATATTACTTTACCAGTGGGGGACCAGCAGTTATCTAAAATATTATTATCTTTTATCTTTAAAATCATTTATTTTCCATTAAATGTTCTCCAACTCCAAGTTACAAGCGTGCAGCACAACAGCAGATGGTTATTGTTTTGTACAATTTGTAGATCCACTTAATTTAATCTATCCTCTATTCCTCAGTCTTACAAGTTACAATTTACAAATTACAAATGTGTTGTGGGTTGTGTATACGGTATACCTGCTAAGTGCTAAGTGCTAACTCTTTTAAAAAGAGTATATTTTCTTTAGAGCTGATGGTTGGTCCTCAGTCCTCAGACTCTCCTCAGACTCCTCACCGTGCAACAAACATATTCTGGGACCTGTCAAATATTCATAGCTTGAATAAGATTTCGGCAGATTATTTGCAGAGCAAAATACACCCACACCACAAAAATAAATTAATCAGATCTGGCCGCAAACTACACCCACAAAGACAGAGTAAAATACCTTTAGTCCTTTACAAGCCGACACCTTTAGCAACACATCAACGTTCACGGCAACGACGACGACAAGCCTACAGCATGACAGACGACCGCGAAGCAGATGGGTTTGGGACTTTGGCCTTTGGGTCTTTTGACGACGAGGTTCGAAGGAGACCGCACGAAGCAGACTACGGGCCTACGACGAAGTAGATGGCGACGACGAAAGACACCGAAGGCGGGTTACACTTACCAGAGATGATGAAAGACACTTGAAATTGCTCACCCCTCTTTGCTTTTACGGCAAACAGTGGTTGCTCGTGTTTTTAGGGCTTAAAAATCGGGTGGATGTTTGTCATTTTTTAAAACATTTTCCTTTCAAATTTATTTTTTAATCCCCCTTACTCTAAAAACTCAGTTAATAGCCCCTTTGAGTTCAAGCCTGACTCGTATACTCTAACGAGTTGAGCCGAGCCTGCTCGAACTTAGTCGAATTGAGCCGTTAACGAGCCAAACTCGAGCCGAGCCGAGCCGAGCCAGCTTGCAAGCGGCTCAGTTCGTTGAATAGCCCTAAATAAAACAGAAAGGGAAGAGAGGTGGCGAAGGCAGATATGTTTGATGTTGCAGTTATTCTGTAATTTTAATTAAAATTAATTATAAAAATAGAATAATGAAAATTCATATTAAAAATAGATACAAGAATTTTAAATTGCAAGATTTTTCTGCTAAATAAAAATTTACTATTTTATCCTTCCTCTAACAAATTTCACTAACAAAATCTTATGAAAAGTGGGTAATTGTCATTTCCAAACCTTTTGGGTATCAGATTGTCTTTACAACAAACTTTGGGTGGGTGCAAGTCGTTTGGCCTCTTTCATAAAACTTTAATGTTTTTTACAAGTTTGAAATTCTATTTTTAAAATTAAATGTACGTATTCTAAAAGAGTTAACGAATTTTTCCCACCCAAATAATGGTTTAATGACACTTTTCCACCCACAAACTTTTAAAATACCACTTTACTAACCAAATTTATATTCCGACGGTGAACAGAGAGTAAACTCGGTTCAAGTTGTTGGAGCTTTTAAAGAGAGGAGGCCGATGAGTTTTTTAGTAGTGGAAGGTTGGATTTTGGTGATTGAGATTGATCAGAATTTGACTTGGGAGGGGCAGCTGTGCAAATCCTAATCGTTCGATTTCCGGTGATTGGTAGGATCGGTAAAAGTAGGGTTTGAGGGGTTTTGGTAAGTGATGATTAGGGAAGAGAATGGTGGTGGTGTAGTGTCGCAATGATACCGGAATCGGAAATGGAATATAAATTTAAGTAGTAAAGTAGTATTTTAAAAGTTCTGTAGGTGGGAAAGTGCCATTAAGTTATTATTTGGGTGGGAAAAAGTCGTTTATTCATTCTAAAAGGATGAAAGATGATTTCAACCAATGGGTGGCAATAATCGTGAAAAAATAAGTTTTAATTATTTTTTTTGTTCAAATTTCCTTTTGTTTGATCTTTTGTCATCTCTGAATTCTTGGTGAAAAAAAAAAAAGAAATATAAAAATTTTTGATACCAAACAATCTTCCATCACCCTCTTCCGACCGCAAGGGTCATTTGCTTGATAGCTTTGAAAAATCAACAAAGGAGGTTGTTAACGTAGTGGAGGGTATTTAGAATAAAAAAAAAAATATTGTGGATAGATTTCAAAGAGAAATTATACTGCTATTGAACGAATGTTATGAGATTTAAGAGATAAAAATAAAAAATAGCGACTAGAATTCAACAGATAGTGAGGTTTATAAAGAGATTTTGGAAGAAAATATTAGAAAGGGTAAGCTTGGAAGGAAATATAATATGTTTAAAAATAATTTTAATTAATATAATAATTTTACATTTACAAATTGAATAATTAGATTAGTATGCAGTAATTTGATAAACAACATGCAACTTTATGGATAAAGCTTAATGTTTGATTGAAAAGATTATTGATCAACAAATAAAGCAGGTTTGTAAAAGGTAAAGCTAATGGCTAAGGACAGATCCCTTGGGGTTTTGAACATATTGTCATCTTAATATTTTTATTTATTTAAGTTGTGGAAAGTTGTAATGACTTCGAATCAGTCTTAGTAATGAAGAAGAAACCAGTTTCATTAATGAAAACTTCGATAATTTTCATTACAGCATAAGATATTAAAGGTGGGTTGATACTGTAAACAAACTTTGATGAGCATTTGCGTGTACTCCATGGTCTAAATAAAAACCCGGGTACAGGTATTTTCATATACAAACTTTGAACCAACTCTTTTCCATTAACTTTCCACTTGAACATTCTATGTTGTATAACATATAACTGAAATGTGGTTGATCCAGGCAGCGTTAAGACTATAAAGATTTGAGAGTATAAACTTTATAACCAGATATGAGAGAGCTTAAAGCTAAGGCCCCGAAAGCAAGGAAAGATAATGCCACAGACGCCCTTGCCATATCTGGGAAGAGGTCTTTACCCCAGTTGGATTGCCAGTCATCTACGCGGACAGCAGCTGAAGATGATGCAGACATGAGAAGATAAGTTATCACCTGCCATGTAAAACAAGAAGTTTAGCATTCCACGCCAGTAAATCAAGAAAAAGCGCTTCTAAAATCATCTCATTAGAAAGCATTAAGCAAGCCTTATGGCCTGCCCAGTGCCATTCCCCACTCCTGTTAATGGAATTTCAGGGATTTCAGGGGTCTGGTCTCTGAATCCAATAATGCAAGGGTATGCAGGACTATGAAGTATGAACTATTGGGTATTAGGTGTAGCTTATGAGTGATTGAATCCGGTATAAGGGGCCAAAAAATGAGACTTGCAGCATTTTGAGCCCAACCAAAGTAAAGAGAAAAGGCACATTATTCGTAACGCAGAATATATTATCACAATTGACCTAAAACGTGATTTATTCATGTTTTTTAGCCTGAGGAGCTCTTAACTCCACATTATCATGTCTCTTAACACCCAAAAATAATACACAGAACAAGCATAATTCCATCAAGTTATAGATCATAGACTTGTGTCCTAGGCAACTTAATTACACGTTCACTCATGACATAAGCAGTTAGCAACCTGCTTTCTGAGTGGAGATTTTGTCTTTTGCTTTCATGTACTCTATTCTTTTCTAAAGATATTGCTTCAACTTTAAGCATTTTGACACAAAAAAGGTGATACCAAGTGATCTCCAACTCTTAACCTATGAAAAGGAACTTTCTCCCAAGGCACACACACCAATCAAGAAACAGTTCAAGAAAGTAAAAACAGCATTCTCACAAACAAAAAGGAAGAAAAAAAGTGAGAAAAAGTTGTCTAAGAACTAGATGGTCCAACACTCCAAAAGATTCTAACATAAGCAATTCCGTGTGCAACAGTAGCCTAAAGGCGCCCCATAAAAACAAAATATTATTCACTAGTTTCTATCAATCCATCTACCATTGGCCTTATGCACCGCCTTTAAAGGAAGTGGTCCCCTTTAACATCACAAGATTGCCAAGTGCCAACCAAAATACCGAGGTGTGCAGTTAAACATGGGCCTAGTTTAGGTATGAAATTAAAATTAAGATTAAAAAAAGAAAAAAAAAATTAATCGCAATAAAACGAAGACTCACTCACCTGATCCAAAGAAAAATCCAAGTAGTGGCGGAGGGGTAGCCTCAATTTGCGTTTTCCGGAGGTCAATTGATAGATTAGATCATAACCCTGAAATCCAGAATATACAAAGGCTATCACATTCACTGCCATACAGTACCTGTTATTTAATTTTAAACATAGTATTAGATAGCAACATAAAACGAAACCCAAACGATACAAATAGAAATAAATCAACTAACGAAGCTGAAAAAAGAAATTGAAATATTTAACTCTTTGTAATAAGCAACAGACGAACCCGAATTCTTTGTAACGGTAGAATGAATCAATGGCCCAACCACGATCTCTATCGGCAGCCAAAACCGAGAAAGAGACCAAGCTGCAAACAAACCCAGAAATCCTAGAAACAATCAAAGCTCTCTTCATCATGCTATCTCTCTTGGCTTTCTTCAAGATCGACAAATTGGTCTTCAAATGGTTCCTCCCACTCCCGGTATTAACAAAACCATCACCATGCCCATCACCACCACCACCACCACCAAGTCCATTTTCTTCATCTTGGACTTCTTGGGATGTGGGTTCCACCTTGGTCTCAACCGCCGCCGCAACAGCAGGAGGAGGAGGTAGTTTAAACGGAGGCTTTCTGTGGTCTTCTTCTTCTTCTTCATCTTCACCTAAGGGTGGTGAATTTGGTGTGGAGTTGTGGTAGAGTAGCCGAGGCGGAAAAGATTGTTTGGGTGGTGAGCTTGGGTATGTTTGTCGTAGTTCCGGTTCAGGCGGCGGAGAGTTCTGTTTTGGTGGCGGGTCTGGGCTTGAATTTGTGTGTTGTAGTTCATGTTCTTTGCCGAGTTCTTTTTCTTGCTCGTGTTCATTTGGTTGTTCATGTTCTTCTTTGTACTCTTGTTCTTGTTTTTCTTCTTTGCGCTCTTGTTCTTGTTTATCCATGGTTTGTTGTTAGTTTGGAGAAGAGAAAAAGAAAAGAGAATCTGAGAGTATGAGAAGTGTGTTGTAACCTTTTAGTTAAGAACATACAGACAATTTCTTCTCGCCCGAACGAATAATACAGTAACGCATAATTTTCTCTTCTTTCACAATTAATACCTACCCATGATGTCAATNAAGCTGAAAAAAGAAATTGAAATATTTAACTCTTTGTAATAAGCAACAGACGAACCCGAATTCTTTGTAACGGTAGAATGAATCAATGGCCCAACCACGATCTCTATCGGCAGCCAAAACCGAGAAAGAGACCAAGCTGCAAACAAACCCAGAAATCCTAGAAACAATCAAAGCTCTCTTCATCATGCTATCTCTCTTGGCTTTCTTCAAGATCGACAAATTGGTCTTCAAATGTTTCCTCCCATTCCCGGTATTAACAAAACCATCACCATGCCCATCACCACCACCACCACCACCAAGTCCATTTTCTTCATCTTGGACTTCTTGGGATGTGGGTTCCACCTTGGTCTCAACCGCCGCCGCAACAGCAGGAGGAGGAGGTAGTTTAAACGGAGGCTTTCTGTGGTCTTCTTCTTCTTCTTCATCTTCACCTAAGGGTGGTGAATTTGGTGTGGAGTTGTGGTAGAGTAGCCGAGGCGGAAAAGATTGTTTGGGTGGTGAGCTTGGGTATGTTTGTCGTAGTTCCGGTTCAGGCGGCGGAGAGTTCTGTTTTGGTGGCGGGTCTGGGCTTGAATTTGTGTGTTGTAGTTCATGTTCTTTGCCGAGTTCTTTTTCTTGCTCGTGTTCATTTGGTTGTTCATGTTCTTCTTTGTACTCTTGTTCTTGTTTTTCTTCTTTGCGCTCTTGTTCTTGTTTATCCATGGTTTGTTGTTAGTTTGGAGAAGAGAAAAAGAAAAGAGAATCTGAGAGTATGAGAAGTGTGTTGTAGCCTTTTAGTTAAGAACATACAGACAATTTCTTCTCGCCCGAACGAATAATACAGTAACGCATAATTTTCTCCTTTCACAATTAATACCTACCCATGATGTCAATTTCACCAAGGAGCCTATCCCAATTTGAGCAGGAAAAAGTGACCAAGTGTTTGTAGAGATTTATTTAGACCAATCACAATTTTCATTACAAGAAAAGCAGACATCTTTGTGACAACAACACACACTTATCTACACCAAAATACAAGAGCTTAAATTAACTTCCATTTGGTTAGGTTTCGAATCATTTCACAACTCGTCATCATTTGAGGAATTTGCCTTGAAATGCTGAAACACCTTAACTTTTAAGAGAATAATATCACATGCGAAAACCAAAAAGAAAACACAAATGGAGGACACAGTGGAGTTAAGTCAAGATATATGCTAGAGGGCCTAGGGCTGAAAGATGGAATTTCTGTCTCTCTTTCCCTCCCATAAAAAGCTCCACTCAAATGATTCTTCCAATACTTTCACTCCATACTTTTCAAAGCCTAATTTTCAAGACCCAGTTTGGTGTTCATGGCCCAATGCCATTGCTTTCAAACATTTATAATTCAATCCAAGATCATTATCTGTGGATCAAACTCAAATACTTGGCACATCACAGAGGTGAACTTCAATGGTTTAAAGCATCCGTCGAAGCCGCTCCCTTGGATCAATGTGCTTGTGCTCTCTGTTTTGATTTATAAAATAAAACTTACAAAGTCTAAAATACAGGATAAATATTACAGCTTAAATTATACACTGTCACAATTCACTAATACGATTTCTCCTACAATCTTCCATATACAACACAGTTCGTAGGATATTGTGAATTTGCTCATATATCCGGCAAACTACAAAATCTTGCTAAGAAGATTTTCATTAGGACCTTGAGAAAAATTCATGAGCTTCACGATAACGATCCAAGACAACATTGAATATGGGATGAATAGGTTCCAAAAGATTAGAATGTGGACCTAAGACAGCTCTGGGCAACGGGGAAGCATCTTCATCTTTCAACCAGCTATACTGACAAACTGATAGGCCACTTAAACAATAACAGGTGTGATAATAGTCTCTAGATTTTCGAGGTTTGTCCTTGAGTCCGCCTCCAGGGTCCTGCATCAACAACATTCATCAAAATATAAACCCTCGCAACAGAATCTATAAATCATGTTGAGAACAAGAAAATTTGTCTCTTTTAAGGATGGCTCAAATATAATGGTATATCATCAAATGTTCCATCTACAACTCTCTGCCTAGCACACGGAAAAGAAAAAAGACCTAGCCCTCAAACTGAGACAAATGCAGAGACAAAAATACGATAACCTCAAACTAATTTAAACTGATGCAAAGATGCTCAATACTCTTTTGGTTCAGTCCAGTCAAAATAATAGCTTGAACCCAGTCCGCTAATTTTAATCTAAAGCCGACCTCAGACCAAGACAACTTATGATTTGATAAAGATGATTCTCCATCAGTTTTTCTTAATAATTCATTTTGGTCTTTTCTTTTTCAAAATAGCACAACTCTTTGTCACTCAAACATCAAAGTGATCAATATGTAGAATTATCTTTCGAATCTTAACCTGTGAGCATAAAAGTATATATCTCTGTAAGGCAATGCTATGAAATAGAGGCTCCCTTTCTGCAAGCCCCTCAGACGAGACAAATCCAACATTGTCAAAGTTAACTGGACAGGGAGCATTCTGTGAGCCTGTAAATGATTAAGAAACAAAATTAATAAGATCCATGAATTTAAGGCAGTGGCAGACATATGGAGCTGAGGTGGCCTTCCTAATGGCTACCATGAAAAGTAACAGTGTATCTAATACACAAGGGGAAAAATTGACTCTTGAATAAATATAAGTTTCAATTATTTTGATTAGATTGCACAAAAAGTTTTGTAAAATATCTTTTCTATCTCTTAAAACCCACTATTCAATCCTTCTCTATTCGCACTTGCTTCCTCTACTGTGCAAAATTTTATATCTTAAGTCGATTTTCAAGAAAACAACAGTTTATTATCTTTTTGGTAAACCTGTTTTATATAAAATTGAAAGAACAAATCGGACTGTATTTTCTTAACTTTATTAAAAATTCTTCTAATTATATTTTAAGGGTCGTTCTTGTAGTATTACTCTACAATTAAACTTCAATAACATTTCATTTTACTCAGTCCAGGAAAAAAAAAAAAAAAACCACCTTATTTTAACTCTAACTGTAAAGTTAAATCCTAAATATTGTAATTGTATTTTCCTTTACATCAAAGAATTTTTTTTTTTTTTTCATATTTGTGTTTATTAAACTTAAAAATTATTAATTTATGTTCAGCTGTAACCTTGTTAAAAAGCATGATGAGGCAAAGACTTGATTACTTAAGAAAGAAGGAATTAAAACCATGTTATTCACTTCTAGTGAATCTACCTCCCGGTTGAAAATGGCAAGCTTCATCACCTTCTGATGAAGTTCCATCTGAACTTTCTTTCCCTTCTGATATATCTGATTCTGGAGTAGCTTCTGGACTATCAATATGGTACTCTGCTTCTCCAGGACCTGACTGTGTCAGTCTTTCTCCAATTATCGAATGAAACCTTTGTAATAATGCAAATACACCTCCCTGTTCACTTTTCTTTGTTTTAGTCCACTGTATACAAAACAACAAGGAACAACAACAAATTAATAGAAAAAGTACTAACCTGCCAGAATGAATAGCAACCATCAACAAGTTTATTGGCTCTCCCTTGAAATCCACCTTCCACCCCTTGTCGAAATACCACCCAATCCTATACAATCAAATCGAGAGATAAGAGCATTTACATTCAGTTTTATGCTAAAGGAAATCAACAGAACAAAAGTTAGATCTAACAGATAAAAGCATAAATAATAGCAAAAAGAAAAAAAAAAGGAAACGTTGTCTTACAATTAAGGCAGCCAAATCCAAACGGTTAACCTCATTGATCAGAATCATTGTAGCCAATCCACAAAATGTATAGCTGAGCGTCAAATCAAATTATCAAATCCATTAATGGCTTTGCTAAGACATGCAGACAGACATTAGTATGTACATGAACCAAAACGAAAAAAGATAAGGAACACATTACAATGGCATTAGCTAAACCAAACACAGAAATGAAGAAAAGAGAGACAGAGAATGCAGAGTGAAACATACCCACCATGAGCTTCGGAACCAGGTTCCCCAGCAATACCACCTTCATGGGTCTGACAGCTGCATAGAGATGCCATCGAGTACAAAACTATTTATTTACTTTCATCAATAAAGCCACCTGATAAACCAGAATCAGATGGATTTACTTGCAAATTTAAATCAAAGTCCATTTGAAGCCAACCTTAAGATGTAATTTCCAACATTGTGAACAAGGTCATCATCCAAAATGTTCAGCATACTTGCAACCTGATTATAACAAGAGATTAGTCACTGAAAGACAGTGAAAATTACAAATACAAAAATAAAGTTGAATAATAGTTTCCAAACAGGAACCATAGAAAAAGTATGCAAACCATAAGCAAGGCAAGGCAAAAATTTTGCTCCAACAGTCAAGATGAATAGTGAAACGTAACTTCATACCAATTCACATGTGAGTAATGGTAAATTCTAAACTTAAAACAGGTTAAAATAATAATTTCAAGGTGGTTCTTTCTCCAGACAAACAAGCAACTATATATTGGAAGGATTTAACGATGGCATCAATTAAGAACAAATACCAATGTATCGACAAACTATTGCATGAAATAGTGTAAAATTAGAGGAATTTGATGTTGGCCTGACAGCCATACTTTTCAAGCTACTGTCAACCAATGTTGGACTCGATGAACAAATATATTGACTATTATAAGCATGTCCTTACTTCGACATGTGAGCCAGAATGAGCAAGTGTAAATATAAGCGAGGCTTAAGGAAAAGTTCGTCTATATACCAAAATGTGTCCACTTACATACAGAGAGAGAGCTAACTTACTGAAATAGCAGTGTAGCATGCTCGAACGTCAATTTCTCCCTCATCATGCATCCTGAGAAAAACCAATTGGTGATTCTAAGTGGAAGCTATAAAATATAAAAGTAATATTCATGAAATCTATGTTAAGTAGTTTCTCAATTAAAATTATAAGAAACAGTGACAAACCTGAAGGCCCCACTTGGGTCTTTCATGTGCTTCAGAAACGTGTACATTTTACCCCTGCAAAGTATTCCCAAGAGATAATTTCAAATAATTTCCAAAAGACTCAATAGCATATTGAGGCAAAAGAATGACTTCGGAGAAGCTTAAACTCACCTATCAATTGACCATAAAGATTTATCACTACCCAAAGTAATCAATGCATTCACTGCAGCATAAGTTGTGGCAAGATGAGGCATCTGATAGAATATAAATAAAGCGGTTGAGCAACAACTGTGAACAATATTTTTCAAAATAGAAATTAAAAAGAAACAATAAGAGCAATCGTATGAGCCAATCTTCCAAAGACTCTTCTAGAAAAAAGCAGGATCCTGAAATTTAAGCAGGTTTGCTTAAGAGATCAGCGGCAAGAATCTTCAACCAAAAGAATGTACTATTTTAGAAAAAAAAAGATAGCCAAGATCAAAAGACTGTCTTCATTAAAAACACTACAACCTCTCAGATACAACAAAATTAAGAAAGTTCAAACCACTAGAGGCAATTTCAACTTTGTCCCTTTTTTTATCTATTATCAGAAACAATTTGGTTTTCTCATCATGAGATAAAGTTCATAAGATAGCATCAGAACAACCGCTGAGGGGCATGAAAATAAAAAAAGGTTTCACAATTGAAGTCTGAAAAAGGATCACTTCAACTTATTGCAACTATTGTTGGTTTTACTAGGATAGTGTCCATCAACAGTAAACAAGTAATTATGCCAACCAGTGGATCATCTACTTGCCTGTCCAGGTCCACCAGCATATCCACCATCTGGGCCCTGCCAACGTAAGAAAACAGAATGATATCTAAAGCTGAAGATGTAACGTTTGCATTTTACCTTAAGGACCAGCAAACATAGCGTGCATGTAAAAATGGTAACACCGAATATGTTAATTATTTAAGTAGATCAGTAAGCATGAAGCACTAAACATGTGATTTGGTTGCTGTGCCGAGAAGGCACAGAAATCCTAATGATTTGAATGGCCATTAGATACTTCACAACTATTCAGGTTCAAACATTTTATTAGGGGACAAAACAGTACAGATTGCCCTATCTGGATGGTGCCAGATGAATATGTTCGTTCCAGGTAATGCTAAAGCAGACTACTTTCAAAAATATGTGATGTGCTGGAAAAGCACAAAATAGGAATTAGAGAAACATGAACTTAGGGCCCAAAGTAACTAAAAGTTTGGATATACATTTGCATCCGTATTTAGTATATTCATAAGTATAAGCACACATAGTAAGCTCGTATATATTGACACAAAAAAGGTAAGTACTTGTGTTAATTCTAACACAAGTGTCAACAGTATTATATTTAGGTGTCTAAATACATTCCAACCGGTAATAGATGGTTATAAAACTTAAAGTTTAATCAAAGAAAATTTAACAGGGACAATTGCAATTCAATATAACAGAGACAGAGATTTTGAACCCCAGACAAATTCCAACACCCAAGCACAAGGCACCTTAAGAAATTCTGAAAGAGTAATTGACCCTTCAAGAAATTATGAGTTGAATTTATGATGCAGAGTAGTGATAGAAATCCACCTAGAGTCTCCCAATTAAATTTTAAATAGACAAAGAGGGATGATGCTTCTTCTACTGATTTTATTCATAGTTCACATAAAAAAAATTAGAGAGAGAGAGGGAGAGAGCATTATGAACTATAATAAAATTGACAATACACATAATTCAAAGCAAAGTATACTATGAAAATTAATTTAAACCTCATACCTGACAACGACTAAGAAAGTCAATGGTCCTATCTTCCAATGCAGCATCAACAGACTGCCCAAGTAAAGCAATTGAATGCAGGATCCAGTAGCAAATCCAAGGTCGACTAGATAAAACAACAATCACACAAATAAATAAAAATAAGAATGCATTGTAACATTTATGTAATTCATGAACACAACCGAACATCCTTGAGGAAAACACCAAAAATGCTCAAATATGTCTTGCATGTTCAAGGATACAATTTTTTTTTTTTTTCAATAAGTAAACTTCCACTAATATACACATGTGGATGCAACATATGCATAAGAAAGTTTTCAAAGAATAGTAAATGAAACTGATCATTCCTTTCACTGCCACTCCACACTACTTGAAACCATTTCATTCATTAACATGCAGTTTTACTAGCCAAATGGTTGTTCGTTTAAACAATATTCATTTGAGTTTTAGTGTCTCTTTGATTTAGTGTTAGAAGATGGAAGTTCCCATCCCTATTAAAAACCTTAAACAATATTTCAGAGTTGAACAACCAGCCTCCTCTTGGCAATTTTGAAGAGAAAAGGAAAAGATTTAGTACTTATAAAGAAAAAATTAATTTTAAAGCAATTTTCAGTATGTCTTGTCTTTTTCTCTTCCGCTCTCTAAGAATCCATAGGGAGTCTTTAAGTATCTAAATCATCCACTAAACTACAAGGAATATACCTCAATATACAAGAACTTAACAATGGATGAACTAAATGTATAACTCTTATTTTACATAACTTCAACTTAATCCTCAGCTTAAACATGAGTTTTGAACACCTGAAACAGTATAGCCATTGCATAGTTCAATTGCCCAGTTTAACCACAGGTTAATTTGTATGACTATGTTTCTCCGACTGAAACTGAATTTGTCCATCTAATATAACATGAAAATGGATTCCCTGAGATGTGAGTTTTCTTACACCAAATAACAAATTACAACCATTCATTCTTTCATTTTTTTTTTAAACAATTTTTTTTTTTTTTTTTAATATTCACTATCTACTCAGCTTTCTATTAGCTATTATATACAATTAAAAAAAGATATCTTTAGAAAATGCCTTCAAATATTTTTTAGTTTTACTTCCTTGTACCATATTACAGTTTCAGTAGTGGGGCTACTACTTTCTTATATTAAATCTAAACTTTGTCTACGGATATCATTAATAGAAATAATTAGATTATGTAAATTCATATAATACACATTGTGTCATTGTGTGTTAACACATTATACCCTTCCAAATATGATCGAAGTAGCCACTTTCTATTGCCAATCCAACATAAAAATTATACATAAATGTCATAACAAATAATTATTAACTCTTAGTCCAAAATTGAACTTTTTAAAATATCTTCAACTCAATTCCCTAATTCTGCATCAGTGTAGTCAATTAACAAACCAAAGAACAACAGGAGATTCAAAATTAATTCAGAACTTAAATTCAAAAGAGAGGCACATACTTAGCATCCAAGACGCAAAAGGAAGGGCCAAGTTGTTGGAGACCTCTCAGCAAGTACTCCATGTGATTGTCACGCTGAAGCTCCATCCTGTAAACCAAATATCAAAACAATTACAAAGTCGGGAAGCCAGAATTTGTGAAGAAAGGAAATTGAAACCCCAGGTTTTGAATGTGAAGGATTTCTGCTTACATTAAACGCTGAGTTTTGGGGGGAACACTGGCGTAGATCTCGTACATCATTTTAACGTCGCTCATAACCATCGATTGTTCTCGCTGCGTCACGGTTATTCTCGAAGATGACTCCATTGAGTGACGGGTTGAGTAGAAAGAGTGTTGCTTTGAGTTTGGTTTTTGCAGTGAGCAATGAGTCGAGGGAATTTAACTAGCCAACCTCCCAAGTTTGCATTTAAAAAAATAACCTTGAAAATATTTTTTTTAAAGCTAAAAAAAGGAACGTGGCACACTTAGGATTCATTAAACATGAAAACGGGTTAAATTAAAAAGATTTAAACATATATGGATAATATTATAATTAACGGAAGTTTGTTTCAATTTTGAAAATTAAAAACGACCCACACCCTTCAAAATCGCTTAATCGAGCAATATACCTAAAAAACGACCGACGGACACCTTCGATTTCTCTACGATCTCTGACTATAAAAGTTCCATATTTCTAGCAAATATTCGATTATAAAGCTTCCTTACACAAAATCATGGCTGATATTCACAAAGAGGAGGAAAACCCAATCTCACTCCAAATTCTAGACTCCGGCGACGGTGGCTGTTCAAAGGCTGTTGAAGAAGATGCTTAGTGGATCATCCAATAAGTCAAGGTGGTCCAGAGGCAAAGGCGACAACGGCGGCACGAGAACATAGAGAAGAATCGGAAAATAATTCTGAAGAGAAGGACGCCAACGAGAATTCAGGCGAGGAGAAGGACGTCGATGAAGAAAGGTTACGTTTTTTACTGGTGGTTTTGAATTTGATGAGAAATTTGATTGATTTGTATGAATTTGGGGGATATGTAGTTGGTTTTATTGTTATGGTGGTTGTGGCGTTTTGTCGAGCAATTAGCAAGCATCATGGGAGTGGCTTTGTTTGGGTTCCGAGGATGGGGGGAGGCAAGGGAGGCCGTAGGGAGGTTGTTTGTGGAAGGTTGGAGGGCTGGGGATGGCAGGAGGTGACAGAATAGGGGGGTTAGAGGGCTGCCCTGCATATTGCAGGGCTGGCCACGCACAGCTGCTTAGCCATCTCCAGTCATGGAACCTGCCACAACAGTCTCTATAGGGCCTGCATTGGCTTCCCCGATCCTCTCGAAGCCAAAAACATCCACTCCCCAATGCCCTCGAAGCCCATATCCCCCAAATTGGCAGCCTATTGGTTGTTTTGGTTTCTTTTTTTTTTTTTTTTTTTTTTTTTTTTTTTTTTTTTTTTTTTTTTAATATTTAGTTTGTATCGATTGTGTAGATTTTCTGAAGCATAAATTATAAAGACTATGGTTGGAGGTTGTAAGCGATAAGGTACCGTACTTCCTCGTAAGGGTGACAGTTAGGTTGAGTTGCCAAGTTTTTACGAGAATAATGGAGATTTTACGGGAACAAAAGAAAGGTATGGACCGATTCAAAGAGAGTTGTTTCGGTCATTTTGTGAACATTGCAGAAAATTGGAAAAATGTGTTCTAGGGGCAGGGAGTGCATTATATATTGCTGCACTTAGTTAAAAGCAAAAAAAAATGAAATATGGTTCGTGGTGGATGGGAAGCCACTACATTTTTTGATGATGGAATATGCCTTGATGACAGGCTTAAGATGTGAGGCATTTCTAGATGCGGAAGAGTAAGAGAGAGTAACGATGAGTAGGGCAGTCGATAACTTGACTAAAAAGGTTTTGGGGGGGAGGGGAGGTGTCTATTACGGGATGCGATTTAGAGGAGAGGTTAGGAGAAGGTAGGTATACCTCTTCAGAGAGGTTCAAGATGTGCCTGGTATGGTTCGTACATTCAATCCTAATGGCTTCTGACTCAACAAAAGTCGTTAATATGGATTGGGTGAAGTTTGCGAGCAACATGGACTTCTTTAATGCTTATCCGTGGGACAGGTATCATTTCAGCTAACCATCGACTCCCTGAGTGGAAAAGACATGGCGATAAAGCATCGCCAAGTTGTCGATAAGATAAGGAAAGACCAAGCACATACAATTTGTTTGGCTTCCCATGGGCAATGCAGGTAAATATTAATAGTTTTTTGTTATATTTTTTTGTATTATATGTGTTTTAATTATGATATGGACTGTTTTTTTACAATGTAAGCTTGGATATATGAGATCGTCCCTGTCTTGGCTAAGGCGGTGGGGGGGGGGGAAGAAGACTTCGGATGAGCGACCACAATTTCCTAGAATGTTGTGGTGGCACATCGAGAAGTATACTAATTGGGATTACGACAAAATAGATATGGAAATTCAAGTGGCTCGGGTAAGATTAAAGGATTAATCTTTAGAATATACAAACGTGGCTTAAATTTGATTTATTTTTTTTTCTTATTGTAGGGAGTCGTCTGTCCTTTCCTCACCCCTACTAGGGGTGAAGCGAGAGAGGAGTATGTTACATCGTTTAGAGCATTAGACGATGCAATAGATGAAGTGATAGACCACCTAATACAGGACCTAGAAGGGGTTACGCATGTGAGTGCAGTTGCATGGCCACTACTTTAGAATGTTGTTGACGCTGAGGATGATGAAGCTCCAATCGGTAGGAGAGAGGAGGTGGAGAGGGATGAACAAGTTCATACGCCTCCACCCAATTGGCAAACCGGTAACAAGTATCGCTTTGTCGAGGCGCCAGGGTCGAGAGAATAAGGTGGTTGGCCTCATAAACAGTATGTTTGAGAGTTTTACAATAGTCGTTTATGAGAGGTTTGAGAAGATGGAAGAGCAGATGAAAAGGGTGGAGGAAAAAGTTGATAGGGTGGAGGAGGAAGTTGGTGGGGTATTGAAAGTGGTTGAAGTGCAACCTGAGCCTAAAAGAGAGAACCGAAAGAGTAAGCACGTAATTTCTCCTTACACGACAGTAACATATGAAAAGAAGAGGAAAACGAAGAAAAAAATAAGGAAGTCCTTGAAAGTGGAGAAGCAAAAATGGAGGAGGGTAAGGAGGAAGGCGGAGGAAGTGGGCAAGTGAAAATGGAGGAGGGTGAGGAGGAAGGCGGAGGAAGTGGGCAAGTGAAAACAGAGGAGTTAAAGGTCGATTTATGTAGGCCAATAGACGAGGAAAATAAAAAACTCTTATATGTCTATTACAATGATTCTGGAAGTGATGGGGGCATGTGAAGTGCAAGATCGAGGATTATCCTCAGAAGTGGTTTGAAAAGATGTTGACAATGGATAGGTGGCTTGACAACTCGGTGAGTTATTTTCCCTTAGTTTTTCTTATTTTTGCTTATGTTTTCCATGAGGTATTGTATACTTATCATGTTGTTTTTATTTGATGCAGCACATCGATGAGGTATTGGCACTTATGAGGCTACGACAGAGCAGTAATGGTGATATTTTGTATTCACATTGTGCCATCACCGATGTGGCATTTGGCCAAACACTAGTAACTATATATGACACTTTAATAAAAAAAGGCCAATGATGGAGGTGCAACAAGGGGAGGCAAGCGAAAAAGATTGGTCACAGATGACTTCGACGATGTTCTTGATGATTTTCGGTTTGATGACAGGATGATGCAATATATACGGGGGGAAAGGCCCAAACATGGCAACAGTTGGGCAAACATTAAAAGAGTATACTGCATCATGAACATCAAGGATATGCATTGGATAACCGTTGTCGCGCTACTAGATGAGGGCTTGTTGCAGATCCTTGATTGCAACCCAAGTATTTGTCGAGAGAGGCAGTTGGAGACGAAGTTGCAGCAGCTATGTATATTGTTCCTGCGGCTGTTGTGCGATAACATGATGTTTCAGCTCTTAGGTGATGAACTACTGATGGGAAAGTGGCCACTCAAGTGCCTTCCCGTCTCGATAAATGACTTGAGGTAAATTTTGTATAAAACTTACATAATACAACTATTCTATAAGCTGATTCTAATACTAATATCTTCCTCCTATTGTAGTGCTGATTGCGAGGTATGTGCACTAAAATTTATTGAGTTGGACATGACCAACACTTCGATGGACAGCTTGAATGACGAAACAATGCACAATTGTCGAGCACTGGGTTGTTGAGTGCTTCCATGGGCATATGGTTCCCTTTGATTGACCAGAACCCAATCCAAGTCACTGTTGATGCTGTCATCAAAAGGTATAGAAGTTAGACTTAGAATTTTGTAGTTTATGTGATGCTATCTTATTGGGTTGTCTTGAATTGGATCAACTGGTGTTGTTAGGCGTCAGGCTATTGATACTTGGGTTGTGGTGTTATGTATGCTTTGTGGCCAAGGCCAAGGCTGGATAATGTTGGAAGGGGTGCTATAGAAGAAGACGAAGAGATTGTTGCTACTGCTGCTGATGCTAAAGGTATGTTGGATAATTTTAGAGGATGGGGAAGTGGCTAAAGAGAATGATGAAGAGGGGAGATGGAGGCTGTTGGCCCTGCTTTTGTTTTGGGTGTATATAAGACATTTATTTGTTGTATATAATGTTGTAATTTAATGTAATTGACACATTTTAGATTTGTACAAAAGTAATTCAATATTTCTTTCCCTTTTTTGAGTTTGAGTTTATTTAATATTCTTGTTAAATGACATTGATGTGTTGATGCAATTAAGTTGTCAAATTCAGAAGAAAATATAGAATTAGTATGTGTTGGTGATTTTTGTTTGTCAAAATTCAGGAGAAAATTTGGAAAAAAATATGTGTTGCCTATGATCGCTTAAGCGATATATAAGCGACTACATACTTATATATCGCTTAAGCGACCAGGGGTTTTCTATATAGGATCACTTAAGCGAGACAATAAATCGTTTAAGCGATTGTGCATCTGGGAACATCTAGATTCTGCCTTGGACTTGATCGCTTAAGTGATCTCAAATCGCTTAAGCAACCAAGGGTAAAAGTGAAGAATCGCTTAAGCGAGACCATAAATTGCTTAACTGATCGTGCATGTGGGCAGATCTTGATTCTATCTTGAACTTGATTACTTAAGCAATCCAAAATCGCTTAAGCGACCAAGGGTAAAAATGAAGAATCGCTTAAGCGAGACCATAAATCACTTAAGCGATCCTGCATATGGGCAGATCTTGATTCTGCCTTGGACTTGATCGCTTAAGCGACCAAGGGTAAAAGTGAAGAATCACTTAAGCAAGA